ACTGGTGAACACACACACACATCAGTGAAGAACTTGGTCCCACACTCTCTCAGATAGCAGGAGTGTATCACTCACTCAAAGAGTAGCCTTGGGTTAGTTCCTTAACCACTTTCTGCCTCAGTGTTCTCTAGCAGTAAATGGAGAGATTGGGCTGTGAACCTCAGATCCCTTCCAGCTCTGGAATTTTATAATTCTAGAGCTAATACATCTCCTCCAAGTTACGCTTTAACCTAAGATGGAGTGAGCAAACTACAGCCCTTGGGCCAACTGCCCACTACCTGTCTTCAGGGCTCGTGAATGGTTTTTACATTTTTAAATAGGTGGGGAGAAAGAAAGAATACTATTTCGTGAAATACAGTGAAATTATATAATAGTCAAATTTCTGTGTCTATAAATAAAGTTTTATGGGAACATAGGTATGGCCATTCATTTACATATTATTGGTGGCTGCTTTTGCAGTACAAGGGTAGGCTTCAGTGGTTCCAACAGAGACTGTGTGACCTGCAAAGCCTAAAATATTTACTATATTTACAGGAAATGTTTGCCCTTTACAGAACAAGTTTGCCAAGCCTAGATCTAAGCCATTAGGCCATCTGCATAGCAACAACATCTGCCATAACCACCTTACCTGATTGAAGTTTTATTTTTGGAAAAGAGGAGTCTCATAAAGTAATCTCAGAAAGAAAAACAAAACTAATGAGTAATTATACAATCTGATTCTTATAAAAGAAACTATTGGAAATCATTGAATAAATCTACCATGTCAATGTCAAAATTGATTTGTTATGAGAAACAAAATACTCCAAAGAACTTGCCTTACTACTGTTTTGCAAAGAGGCCATTACAGTTCATTTTCTCCTTTTTTTCTTTTTTTTTCTTTTCTCTTTTATTAAGTGGTCTGAAGGATAGTAAATTTATCTTTCCTTTATGAGTAACAGAATCATTGGCGAAAATGACTGTTAAACAGCAAGCAAGCATGAAACAAATCCCTGACCAATAAAGTGGTGACTTTGAGGAGGAGATTGCCCTGCTCAAGGGATGGGTTCCATTTCGGCTGTCATGACCCATGTTATGAAGGAGTCCAGGGACCCAGGGTCCTGGCCCTTATAGGCAGAGCACCTGCCAAGGCCCACTGGGAGCTCGCCCAGGACACCGAGTGAATGGCCAAAGGCTGGCCCCCATGGTGCTGAGCCCTGAGTCTCCAGAGACTCCTCCCACCTAGCCTGGAATGCTCCTCTGGCCACCCAGCCCATCTGCTTACCTACCCCAGTCAAGGCCCAGGTTTAGTTCCAAATATGGTAACAATCAAGGCCCATAGCCTCATGATACCTATATTATTTATCATTTTATGTTTGTCACTTAGGCATCTGTCAGTTAGAGATCCTCAATAAATTCCCATGACGATGACAATGGTAAGATGGAAAACTGACAGGGTTTTGGACCTTTTTCTCAAAGAGGATCTGAGATGCTTGAACAATACTGTCTTCTCTCTTCCTGATCCTCAGGCAGGGTTTTCCAGATGAAAGGCTGAGATCTGGAGCCAATGTGAGAATTCTTAGCAATGAATTGCTGTTACTTCAGCAGGACGATCCACTTGTGCAGAGCAGAAGTGATGCCACATCTTGTTCCTTTCTGGACTTTGCTGAGTAACAGCTTAAATCAAGCATGTCTTTGTTCCTTTGAGAAAGGAGAAGGTGAAGCCATGGAGCTAGAGCGGTCCCTACCTTCAGCATCTTGGGGCTTTGAGATTGTGACTTCAGGCCATACCTTTACCCCCAAGACCTCAAATGCTTGCTTCCTGTCAGTCACCTCAGAAGAAATTTTGCTTTACATTGTCTATGAAAGGGATTCTGAGGAGAATTTTGTCCCTCAATTACAGTACATTTAAATGTTGGGCTTTGCAAGACAGGATCTTGAAAATTGTAGACCTTTTCTGCAGTCATCCGAATGTGGTAATCATGCAAATAAATGCTCTTGCAAAACTAAAAGTATTTGCTTTAATGCTAAATTAAATTTTACATTTTTAAAATATTCCTGATTCAAGATAATTAATAGTATTTCAAAAGAAATTTAGTATTTTGGATGAGTCTTAGTCCTAGAACCAATCGAAATAGGTGAGTCTCTTAGTTGTACTCTTAAAAAGAATCAAAAAATAATTATAACCACTGGGCAAAAAAAGTTAATTGATAACCTCAATGCTGGCTGCTCTTAGACCACTTGAAAATAGTAGCAACTCCTGGGCTCCACCACCCAGGAGATTCTTATTTAATTGCCTAGAATTAGGCTATAGGCACGGGTATGTTTGTAGTCTAGGCATGAGAACCTCATATATAAAAAATATATCAGTTTATGCTATGATTACTTGTGTGCATGTCCCCCTCCCTCTCCTTATAAAGGGTAAACTTACGGAGAGTCAAGAGTTGTATCTTATTCATCTTAGCGTCTTGCAGTAGACAGAGATTTGTTAAACTCCAAGTGCCTGCCACTAACTTAGCTTCCTCTGGAAGCATATATCGAGCAGAAAGAAGGTGAGGATCCCTAGGAAGTTTCTTTAACAAAGGTGGCCAGGCTCTGTGCTCTGTGACTCCAACAAAGTGGGCACGGGGGGTTAGCTCAGGCACCAGCACCTGACTATGGTCTGAGGATCTACAGGGCATCCAGCAACCCGAAAGGAGACCTGATACAAAAGCTCAGTCCAGCTGGAGCACCTGGTTAATGCCCTGTAGGGCCAATTAGATCCTTTCACTACAGGAGCTTAAATGTGAGATCAACAGAGAGCTAAGTAATTGGTAGTAGAAGCAGAAGCCAAGAGACACTCGGAGAAAAATAGCAAAAGAGAGAGGTGCTGAATCACCTGGCGGCTAAGCTTGTTAGGAGGGATGGCACATGCCTGCTGCTCAGGGGGCGGCGAGATAAGGGGGCGGCGAGATAACCCAGTCATAGAGCAGCATCCTGAATGACCTTCCAGTTCCTGAACTTCAATCCAGTTTTCGTGAGGCCTGGCTGGGTGGCCTTTCCGGAACGCTTTTCAGAAACACGTGGCTAAGTGGTGGAGATTCCGCAGCCTTCCTTCCACAATAAATTCCCATTGCTCAGGGTAAACTCTGATAGCTGGTATCTGCTATGCCAGAAAGCCCAGTCAGCCCAGTTTCCGGGTTCTAGCACTTTGCCTGGCACAGAACAAGTGCTAAGTCCCTGAAGGTGCTTGGACTGCATGACCATCTCCGGTGAAAGGCCTTCTGAAAATGAAGAAATTATTCACATTAAGAACACTGACTAGAGTTGCCTTCAAATTCCAAGAACAATACTAAACTAGAATAAATATATTAAGCTTATTCCGCCCTCCCATTTCCAAATACATCTACATTTCAACCATAAATCTAGCAAAGAAGGAAATTCTGCAGAACTACAGAGAGTTCCCTAATTTCAGCTAAGGTATGTTTGGATGGCTTGATTTTCGCTTCGCTTAATCTTCAATCGCTGTATCATTAGTGAGAACAATTTTCCTCCCACACAAGCTTCACTGACAAACCCCCAAAGTAGCTGATCTTTGACTTTTAAGAGTTTAATAATACGTGATCTTCCTCTCACACTGCCACACACACTTCCCCTGTCTATTGTCTGTATTTGCTGCTTGAAGAACACATACTCCCCAACAGGCCGGATGAGTCATAAAATAAGAGGTACATGGATGTAAACTGAGCCTGTTTACACTCTCCCTGGCTCCAGTTAACAAAATAAAAGAGGTCCCCTTGAATTCAGGTCCAGTGGCTTCCGAAAAGCAGGTTTCTGCTTAACAAAGATTTATCTTATTTGCTACATTATTTTAAAGGTAGAGCTAATTTCATGCCCTGTATGAATGAAATGTATTTATGGGTAGAGTCACGTGAAGGATGTGTAAGGACTTGCCCTCCCCATGTCCTCTACAAAAGAAGGCTCTGGTTGCTTCTAGGGGTAAGCTAACCAACAAAAGGAATGCTTCAAAGGTCTCACAGAGATCTAGAATGGGAGCAGCGTCCCTGCTCACTGGAAACTCAGGACCCAAGGGAGTGCTTGCTTTTCCATCTGCATTTTTGAAAATCTGAATAAAAGCAGGTTAAGCCCAACCTCCCCTGACCTGTTCCTCATGAAGTGATCTTACCCCTCTGGAATTGGGATTTTGAATGTATGTGCCTACCCCACGTCTAGTATTATATTACAACAGCATGAAAATGGAGCCTAGGACTGAGGAGCCGGCCGGCCTCAGAAGCCTTCTTCATTGCCTGCCATGTAATACATGATATGCAAAGCCTCTGACTTAAGCCAGTAGATATTTGGAGACCGTGTTGGCCCTAGCATGGGGACTAAATAATGTGTGTTTAGGTCAGAAAGCGAATCAGAAAAGCCACTGGAGGGCACGTCACAGGGTGAGAGCCCTATAAATTCATCCCCACTCTCAGCAGCCCCTGGCAAACACTGGGCTTCCCTGACTGGGCCGCACCACATCTCTCCGTAGTGCTCGGAGAACTCCGGCAAGCAGATCCTCTTCTCGCCACCGCCTTCTGCCGTGCAGAAAAGCCAGAGGGCTAGACACCCGAGGGGAACGAAAGCCTTCCACAGGCACGAGGAGGGCCCACCACCTGACAGAGCGCCCTCCCTCCTAGCGCGGGGCGCGGGGGTAAAAGACAGGCGCGGACACCGCGGTCAAGTTCGGATTGCCCCCTTCGCCTGGCCTGCGCCAAGCCCCACACATTCCTCCGGACCTACCCGGCGAGGAGCAGGCGCGAGCCCGGCCGCGTCTCCACGCGCTGAGCGCTCTGCCTGAACGGCGGGAGGGGCGCCTCTCGTCACCCACTCTCACCCCAAGCCCCCGCCTTGGAGCTCGGGTGCCTCCTCGCTGCTCTCCTCTCCCTCCCCCACCTCCGCCTCCCGACCCCTCCCCTCCCGGGGCCCCTGCGCCTCCGCTCCCTCCCACCCACCCCCCGATCCCCCGGCCCGGGCTCTCAAGGACCAGCCTGCGCTCCTGGCGCCCTCATGTCTTCACGGGACTCCCCGCGCCGGTTGACGTGGTGTCTCGTTCGGATTTCCAGGCAAGACCTCAGCTCCGGCGGCAGCATCAGCCCGGCACGTCTCGAGCTCCCAGGCGCTGCGCCCCGAGAAGGCGCAGAGCGCGACCGCCGCAGCTGAGCCACCCGCCGCACCCCGGGCCCGCGCAGCCCCCGCCAAGACCGCGGCGCGCGCAGCCTTGTCACCCCCCGACCCTCACCAGCGGCGGCTGCTCAAACCTCGAATTCTGCGGGTACTGGGGGCCAGCGGGGGAGCTGTCGGCATCCCTCGCCCTCCTCGCGGCGGCGGCGGCGGCGGCGGGAACCTTGGCCGCCGCCTCCTGCGCGCCCTCGCTGCCCCGAGCGGCCCCAGGACTCCGAACTCTTGCCCCTGACCTGTCGGGCGGGACTCCGCGCTCCTACCCTTGGCCCAGATGGGTTTCCTGGCTGGGACTTGGGTCTCCTGGAGTTAATGTCCAACTGGGGGTCTGCGGAGACCGGATCCGAGGTACGTGGGGAAGTGGGTTGGGGCGGGGGGCGCCAGCTTTGCCCGCCGCTGCAGCGGGCTGGGGAGCGCGGGAGACAGAAGGGGCACGGCTGGACCCCAGAGTGAGCGGTGAGGTTGCAAAGAGGAAACACTAAAGGGGACCGAGGCGCCGGGAAGACAAGAGAGAAAGAGGTTGAACTGGAGAGACGCTGGCCTTGCAGAGGAGTAGGTTGTCTGTCCACGTGGGTAAAGATCTGTGCCCCGATGTCTCTGGACCCCGAAATGTCCGGGAGGGGCCGTTTCCCTCGCCGACTCGGTGGGGCGGTCTTCTGTCGAGTCCTGGGACGGTGCGGGGCTGGGTAATCATTGAACCCACCGCGACCAGAAAGTGGTCCCTTTGGACGTGCAGTTGCGGAGAGATCCTCGCCGGGAGTGTAACTTTCTGTTGAGCGTGTTTGGGTCTGTTACGGGGGCAAGTGCAGGCCCCGGGTAGGACTGCCGCAAAGGTGCAGAGAACCTAAAAATAGAGGGCTCACCTCCTCCAGGTGCACTCTTTCCAAGCTACATTCTTCGCCCTTTGCGGAACTCTGTTGCTTGCACGTTTTCCTAATCATGCTCGCAGCCCTAACTCTCCCGGTCCAGGATAGAAGAGGGGCTCCGTGGGCAGTCCAGGACTCCGCCTCGAACAGACTCTTGAAGTGATTATTTTAATGATCTCTATCCTCCTGGATTCTGTGCCACCCCCGCTTCCCTCAGTAACACCCCCACCACCACCACTACCTTGCATCACTGGGATGATTTCGCCGTGGTTTGGTTTCTAGCCCCTCCCGGTGAAAACGAACCCTTCCCTATCCGAGGGGAGAATGGACTTTCCCCGGAACCCCCCAGCCTCCTGGCGCCTCCCTAGTTTCGGCTGTAGCAAACCCGCCCGCAGGGCCGAAGAGTGAGCCCCGGGGGGTGCTGCCCAACCCCATGTTCCCAATTTTTCTGCTCATTAGTGGGACAAACACAACTCTTCCGGCTCCTGCCCAGGATACGTTAGGGCGCACTCGACTCTTCCTCAGCGTTTTGAGTATACACTTAAGGAGTCCAAGGAAGAGATGGTACTTCCAACTTCGCTCACGCACCTCTTTTCGCAAAGCCCCTAGAGTGGGAGGCTGTGGGTTTCCGCCCGGCCAGGACCAGATCTCGCCCTTGCTGTTTCACCATGCCTTCGCTTTGGCGGAGTAGAGAGGCTGTCCCCTTTTCAACAAGTGACAAGGGCCAGGTGTCCAGGGAGTTCGCAGAGTTCCCAACCCACTCTCAAAAGGGGTTCAAGCGATCCCAGACCTGGAAAACGCCCTCGGGCTTTAACAGATCTCTCCCCATGCTTTCTGCAGAAAACGTCCCTCATTCTTATTTTTTTTTCTTTCCTGGGTCTTGGCCCAACAGTTACGGGGAGAATAAGTGCTCTGTCAGTCTAGGACACAAGACAGTTAAGAAAAGCAATACATCTTTCAATAACTTCTATCCCTACCCTACAAGAAAACTCGCGAGTCACAGTCCGCCCCCACCTCCGCCCGCCTTGTCCCCTCCCTCCCTTTTTCTCTCCCTGAGACCTGGATCTTGAAGGCAGAGCTCAAACCTCCCAGCGCGCCAGCCACAGCAAGGTGCGGGGGGCACTGGCAAGGGTGTGAGCTCATTCGTGGTGAAGCTGTCATGGTGATGCGGGGATCGGGGGAGAGGGACTTCTAAAACCAGGTTACCGAGAAACCAACTCAGGTGAGGTACCAAAAGCAGAACTAGGGAGAGAGGATGGAGAGGTAGGAGCCTGAAAAGCTGGGAGGCCAGTGAGGACATCCAGAAGTTCCGGGGATCATTTGGATTTGGGGAGGACTGTAGGCGGAGTGCTTGTTCGCCGGTTTCATACTTAAAATGACAACGCAGTCTCCCGTCCGCGTGGGCGCCGCAGGACTCGGGCGGTTTCTGGTGCCCCCTGGTGCTGGGAACTCAGAAGCGCCCCACGGCGAGAGGCTACCTCCACGGGCCCTCCAGCTCCCCTGGGCGTCCTTTCCGCCCGGGGCCTGGGGACCACCAGGTGCCGGTGCCCGCGACGCTCCCCTTTTGCCCTACCGGGCGTTATCGGTCCCGGACGCAGCGAGGGGACCAGCCTGTGGGATACCGGAACGGATACAGGGGCCCCTGGCGAAGGCGACTTCGGGAGGGGAGCTTGGTTACCGCACGTGGCAGCTCCTTGAGCAATTCGCGCGCGTAGCAAAGGCGGATTGCAGTAGAAACCCGTCGGACAGCTGCGCTTTAAGAAAGCGTTAAAGAGACCAACAGGGAAGCCGCGGGGGGTGTAAGGGGGAGGGGGGCCCAGACGGGCTGTGAGAAGAAGTCCTAGCAGACCGCAGTGTGTTTTCAGCCCGGGGACCCCCCCCCCCACTCTTCCTCCGCCCAGCAAATGCCGGGAACTTAAGAGCCGCGCCGACCAGAGCCGGCCCCGGCGGTGCTCGGAGGGAGGAATGCGCCCTCCCTGCCCGGGGGAGGAGGGAGAGCTCTCGGGGCCTGCGCCGCTCGCGGCCGAGGGCGGGAACGGGAGCCGGGAGCCGCTTCTGGCGAGGCGGGGAGTTTTCCACTGTTTCCTTTTGCCAGCTTCGCCACACTTCTAATTGAGGATCTCCACGTCCAATTTAAAAAGCCCTCCGTCGGCCAAGCAGGGAAAAAAGGAAAAACCCTCTTAATGCGGAAGGGAAATCTGGTGCCTCTGTCGCTTCCTGCCGACTGGCACCGCGATTCGGAATGGCGCATTAACTCCGCGCCTCCCTGCGCCTCGGGGCCGCCAGCCATTTCGCACGCACCGAGAGCTGGCACTGGGGCGGCCGGGTGGGAGGCCTCGCGTCCCCCAAGTCCTCTCTGCCAAGGCGCCTTGCTGAGTTCATTTTGCAAGGCCCGGGTGGGTGTAGCCGGGCCCCATGCGCCCGAACCCAGAGCCTTTGCCTTTACCTGGGTTTGTAAACCAGCCAGCACTGCATGAGGCGCCCGGAGCTGCAGGTTGCTCGAGGTTCCTAGTGCCTACAAACTCCCCGAGCCCAACAGCTGCGTAGCTAACAAACAGACGCCCAGGGGATGGAAAATGCATTCGTCTCCGCAGTGGTGGGAGGTGGCTGCCGAATTAAACGCTTCCAGGGGTGGCCTGCTCGGGAACCCTGGCGGGAGTTCTGGATGGAGATAGGCGAGGCGGGCAAGCCTGGGAACTAACAGAGGGGAAAGGTGCCGAGGTTTTTGCATTTACCTTGAAATTGCCTTACCCTCTCCCATGGAAAAAGGTCGAGGTTTTCCTAAGAATTATGTTTTATTTGGGGAGCGGGGTATAAGCACCTCATGAATCTGGTGGTTTCTACTTGAGAATTCCCTTGGAAACCGGAACATTGTCACTAGGTAAAATCGCACCCCGAGGTGCCCGGGTCCCCTCACCTAACTGGGTGGGGCTTGGCCCAGAGATGACTTCTTCTCGCCTTCCCGGACGGTGGCCCTCCTTCCTAGGGGTGTGAGCACCGAGAAACCAAACGGAGTCCCGTCTCTGTGAAGAGCTGAACGCTCGCAGCGCGCGCTTTCGCCGTCTAGGCCGTGGTGCGTGTGAGCCTCCGCAGCGTCCGGGACCGGGTAAAGCGGTCCAGGAGTGACTGTGACAAGGGCGCGAAGAGGGCGGCGAAGGAATTTGTGGCCAAAATCTTGCAAACCTGCAAAAAATGAAAGAGGTGTTCGGGTATACCACGAAGGATTAAAAATTTCAAGATAAATGCAATCCCTACCTAACAGCAATGCTAAAACATTTATTGAGCGCATCCTTTATGGGCCTTGAGGCCTTTTCATGTTATTTAATGTTTATAACCTGAAGAGGTGGGAATATTTAAGAGCTGATGCTTCAGGAAGTTAAGTAACTTAACGCAGATATACCTGTACAGGCCAAAAGTCTCCAAGTCCACACTAATTTCTTGTTCTGGCGATAAAATACGTACTCATGTGGGAGGAATGAAACGCGGGCCAGGTGAGTGGTGCCATCTAGCCTGTCCCCACCTAGCTGAGAGCAGAATCAGGACCCTGGGCAGAGTACACTTCATTTTATTCCTTGAATGAAAGGCCGATCGCTTCCTTGGGTCGAGGTCTAGTTCCCAGGACCTAATGGAAACTGCCGGAGGGCGCGGGGGCAGGTCTCTGGCTTGGGAGAGGGACCTGAGGTGAGGGCTGCCCGGTCGCCCCCCGGGAATGGGGTGGGGGGAATTGCACGCCAATACTGGTGTCACCGCGTTGGCCAGGTGTCGTAGTGTCGTTACTGGTACAGGCCGGGGCAGCAGTACTGGGAAAATCTGACCGCGGGAATCGGGTGAAGGAAGAGAAGTGCAGTTGTGGGTTGGACACCGAGAGCGAACTGCGCTTGGGGCGCACTCGGGAGGGAGAGCGAGCTAGGGACTTGGAAGGAGGGCGGGATGCCCAGGGAACCGCAGGGCTGCAGCGGTCCGGGAGGAGGGCGGTGACGAGTCTGAAGGGGGGCACCGGGACCCGCGGGGCTGCCGCGCCCAGAGCAAGCGTCCAGGCCTAACGTGCGCTCTCGGGGTCTCTCCCCCGCCCGCCCGCGCAGGTGCCGCCGCCGGTCGGGACTCTAAGATGAAGTTATGGGATGTCGTGGCTGTCTGCCTGGTGCTGCTCCACACCGCGTCCTCCTTCCCGCTGCCCGCCGGTAAGAGGCCTCCCGAGGCGCCCGCCGAAGACCGCTCCCTCGGCCGCCGCCGCGCGCCCTTGGCGCTGAGCAGTGACTGTAAGAACCGTTCCCTCCCCGCGGGGGGGCCGCCAGATAATCCCCCACCCCCGCTCCCCGCCCGCCACCCGCACGCACCTCCAGCCAGCCGGGCCGACAGTGCGGCCCCTCCCGAGCAGAGCCGCGCTGGCCGAAACCCTTCCCAGGGGCTGCTGCCCAAGGTCCCGGGGCCTAGTCTGTGTATGGCAAATGCTGGTCTGCCCTGCACAGAGGGTATCAATTTTTATGTTGCTTGTTTATCATTTCAATGAATAGATTTTTTCCCCACCACTGCCACCACCACAGCAAAACACAGTTTGCCCCTTTTCTTCATTTCCCCATCATATATACACATACTCCTGTTTTTTCTTCCAAAGCCCTTTATCTTTTTGGGTGTGCCTGCTTATGCTGAATTCTGAAAACAATTGCATTTCCATCCTAAACTTGCCCTTGCAAGGGAAGAGGCCATGGTTTTATACAAAGAAGCCAGAGTCAGAGAAAACACAGAGGGGCCTCAATTTCCAGAACAAGCATCTGGGCAGTGTCAAATCTGTTCAGAAAAGTTCCAGTTCTAGAAAGAATTAATGGGAAATAGTGCTAGCTGGGACTAGGGGGAAAAGCCATAGTTCACACATGAGGATGTTAACTCTTAAGAGATGTCCATGTTGTTCATATTAGAAAATAAATCTGTGTTTGCCTCTCCAAAGTATTTTAGGTAGCACTTTATTAGGGCATGGCCGCTATGATTGGATATAATTTACCCTCCACTCTTCAAAGGTTTTTCTGCTGCATACAGTAAGATGTGCTACATTACAAGTCAGAGCTTTTGGGGAAGGTATACAGGTAACAAAGGTAGAAATAGAAAATTTGACCCAACCCCAAAATAAAGCAATAGGGAGCTGTAGCCAGGAGGTCAGCCTACCTACTTCCTTCTCCTATTACCTCTCTAGCTATTTTGCACTTGAAACATGTTTTGATCATGTAAAGTAGAAGTGGCCCCACAAGTCAGCTGTATGCTATGAGTACCCAAGAACTTGTGGCCTAGGGCTAAAATAGCCCAGGAAATGTGATGTACTTATTTTATGCATATTTACAACAATAAAAGCATCTTCTTCCAGAAGTTCCATAAGAGAGAAAAAGTACATTTTTTCTAAGGCAAATTGACTTCAAGAGTGGCTCAGGGTCAGAAAGAGAACATGGTTGACACCTTGGAATTAAAGTAACTGTTCATAGAGTTCCTGCCATTAGTTGTATAAGTCTATTTTAAAAGGCTTTGATTTCAACCACAAATTTCCATCTCAGTGTGTGTTTCTCTAATAGAAACGTAAATTCAAAATTCCCCTTTGTACCATTGTCTTCAAAGCAATACCCATGAGAAGCTAGCTTCTCATTCATCCAAACAGCCTAAGCCAGAGGAACAGGAACACAGTGACAGATAATAGTTCTCTGCCCAGATGTTCAGGAGAGAAAAATGACTGTGACTGATTACCAAGCTGACTAATTCATGAAGACTTAATTAGCATATGAATAGACTGTCTACCTAGGCCTATTTAATACTGGCTCCTGGGTCTGGCTCTTCTTTGAACTACCTGTGACTTTGGACAACTTACTTCCTTACTTTAGAATGCAGTGAACAGTTTACAGCTGTGAGGTAAAGGAAGGTCATTCCACTCGGAAGTGACAATAAGCCACGATCTCTGCCCCCCCCCCCCCNTCATTCTCCTGCCCTATCCATCCTTTGGGAAGAAAGTCAAAAGAACTTACCCGTTCTCGCAGAAACCACCTGGGGAACTCTAATGAATACTGATGCTGGACCTCAATCGGAGAGATTCGATTTAATTGGTTTGTGTTGTGGCCAGAGCATCTGGATATTTAGATGTTCCCCAGGTGCGTCTAATGTCCACTCAGGGTAGAATCACTATGACTTGATAATACCCTAAGAAAATCTGTGCCTCGTGTAAAATACCACCAGTCACAAAGCCAGCAACGCGGCATTAATCCTACTCATTGTTGTGGGAGGCCATGTTGTAGGGGAAGTGAGATTACTTCTGTTTTCTAAAACTGATGCTAAGTCATCAGTGGATGAGAGTCTAACTACTGCATTTACATTTGAACCAGCAGAACCCACCCAGTTCTGCTTTTATCTATGGGAAGACTTAATAGATCCTAGAGGAAACTTGAAAGAGAAACTTTCCCAAAGAGAAACTGAGCTGCATTCTAAGCCAAATTGACTGCTTTCCAGGTATGTTCAATTCGGTAGCAAGCTGTCAGTGCAGGAAAGGGAGAATACTGACAGTGTGCAGGCTTTGAACATTCAACTGGTGTCAACACGCCCTGTCACAGTGCTGACATTTATATCCTGCACTGTACACCATGCAACTGGTTAAAGCTTATGTAGAAAAAAACATTAAGTCATTTGTTTCATTTGAAAATAGAAAGTACCATAAATACTAGTCCCCCTTCCTTTAGAATGCTTATAACTTAGCAATTGAGCAAAGCCGCTTTCATGCCACCTTAACAGTCATTCTGTGCTGTTCAAAGGGGGCTGGACCGTGCCCTGTCCACACACTCACTCTTGAGGTTCTGCTTCTTCCAGTGTGAAATGAATCATCCAGAATTCTATTCCGAGTATTATCACAGGATGAACTAACCTTAACTAGTTAGTTAAGATAGAATCCTTAATTGGCTCACTTGTTCACCTAGAGGTTGGCTATAAGGTAAGTTGGCTGTGGCTGCCTCCTACAGCAACTTCAAATTTGTGTAACCTCAAGGACTTGTGATTTTCTTTGGGGTCATCCATGACTTTTTCCTTTAGCTATCTTTGTTCTTTCATTTTGCTTTTTGCCAGTCAGTCCTTCCTCCAAAGGGCAATGAGACAGTGGGAGGAACTTAAGTGAAACTAGAATGTGAAAACTGCCGTCATCTTGATATCTCAAAGGAAACCCTTTATGGTCCACATGGCTAAAGAGGCAGAGCAGCTTGTGCAATGGGCCAGAGTTCCCAGATGGCAGGAGGCAGGGCTGCTGACGCTGGACCACAGTTTCCCCCAAACCACTGAAACACAGAGCATTTTGTTTTGCTACCTGGGAGAAAACACTATGTGGGAGGAAAGTCTTCGATGAACAACTAAAGCCATGTTGCACAGGTTTGTCTGAATTGATTAAAGGTTAGTTAGTCATAGTTGTATGCCAGATCTCAGCTGTGTGTGACAGCTTCAATGTGTTCATAAGGAAAAGCATAAAGTGCCTGTGGTTTTAAGAACTTGCGAAGTAAAAGCACACATTCATTCAACAAGTAGTTAATGTGTGCTTGTATATGCCAGGTACTGTCCTAGGTGCTAGGGAATCCTTGTTACACATAACAGACAAAAGTCCCTGCACTCATGGAACATACTATCTAGTAAATGTATATTGTGTGGTACAATTCAGTCACATTGCAAACTAAAACTAAACAGGAAGAACCTTGAGCTGGGCAAGTGGGCTTTTTGTGTGACTGGAAGCCAGCTAGAAGCCTTGAGCATTGTTAAATTGTAATTACAGGCAATCTACAGTATATTGTATTATAATGGAATTATATTCCACCAGTTTGGGAGCAAGTCACAAAATTTCCTACAGATACAATCTTATAAATCAAGCTATCAAGTTGCCAGGCTAGCCCACAAAAATCTATGTAAACCATGATGCAACTAAAAGATGATTCACAATATTATTAGACTAGAATCTCTTCACAGGGTGCCAGATCCCATAATTTACAGAAGGCAGGCATAGAGCAAAAAACGAGGGAGTTTCAACAAGCAGAAGCTTAAGTGCACACACTCAGAGCAGACCTTGGCTGGAACTGCAGCATTTTCACTTAATTGGCTGTTACCTAACATCTCTTAAACCTCCATTTCCTCACCTGTAAAATAGGGAAAATATTAAGCCTGCCCCCTGGGTGTGAGAGTTAGCTGAGGTCATGTTTTGTGAAGTCCATGCCCCAGAAGTAAATACTATAGTTGTTACTTGCCACTCTCCTACTTCCAACAGTCCCTCCCCTTGCGCTCAATGCACACTTAACTCCCGCCACAGCCTTTCACTTCAGCCTCTGCCAAGACGTTACTCTAAATGGTGGAATTTCAAGCGGCACAACATAGTACAGAGAGTGAAAGAAATGCAGGCCTTGCGGGGAGGCTATTTTGGGCCCCACAGTCAGTTAGCTGGTCAGCACGTAGGCAGGCCTGCCTTTCCTGGGATTCTGCCCCCGGGTCAGCTCCCCCTGCTCTTCCCAGGTTTCGCAGCTCCTTCCTTTCCCCATTTTCTGAGCCCTTTCTGCATTTTCCTGCCCAGTGGAATTTTTCCTACCAGATTCCCATGGGCATGTTAGGGAGACCCTCTATCCCCATGAGGAGAAGGAAGCCAGGGCAGGCACATCTTTATATGTAAGTAACAAGGGGGCTATGGGTTGGAGGCTACCTGTGTTGAGACAATGTTTGTGTGGATATTTACTTTAAGATGTCTCATAAATACAGAAAAAAAAAAAAAAGTTTATATATATATATATGTTTAGTAAACTTTCAGCCCATTGTTATCCAGCTAAGGAAGCTTCTAGTGCAATAAGCTGGTTAAATGTTAACCTTTCAAATCTAATGTTATGGGACATAGAATTTAGGATAAATAAGCACCATCCACCTATTGCTTCTTATTGCTTTAGCGTCTGTATGAATGAGCAGTATTGTAATAAAGTAACTAAGCTGGAAAGGAGCTCTGCCACCGGGACGGAGCTCTTGGAATCAAGAAATTCCATGTCAGATGCTTTTAGGAGGCATTGATTCCTCACTTGAAATCTGAGACCAGCATCACACTCTGGCCCCAGGCTGGAGACCTACACCAAACTGTTGCAGTTTAGAGAAATCTATTTCAGGCTTAATTTGAATTGGCCAGTCTTAGGACCTTAGGCTGATCCAACAGTCTAAGAATTATGCTCAAAAAATTCTATTTTCACTGATATAAAAATAAAAGCTACCTGGCATTTTCCCCTGCTAA